GCACGTAGTGTGAGCTCTTTGTTTGGTGAAACAAGCAGGGCCACGTGGGAATTATGACAGGAAGCTCTGGGAGGAGGAGTACTGTGAAGTTCAGTACCTATTACCTGCCTTTACTATCTCTCCTGAAAGGACTGTGCCCTGGATTGGGACTCATACTTCCCACCCGCTTCTCCAGACCCAGACAATTATGAACACCAGACAGACAGGCTATACTCAGGAGTTTAGTGCCAGAAACACAACCCACTGGGAATGCAAGGGAAGGGGCAGTAAGGGATTACTCTGTGCCTTTAATAAAAGCTGCCATCACTGGCCAAACCAGACTGGAACCCATGGAATTTTTTGCTGGGGGACTTCTCAGCTATTGGGCCTTCAGGAAGGGGAACTGGTGGGACTCACAGTCCATCACAATGCCTCTATCCAACTCATCCCACAGTTTCTTGTGATGATAAAATGGGGACAATAACCTTAGAAGTATCTAGAGTTTCCAGAGGAAGGCTTGTTTATTTGTTTAGAAAATCTGTATGCTACCTGTTCAAAAATGCTTCTAGAGCATTTATAATAAAAAATAAAAAATAAAAGTTTAAAGTAACAGCATGACACAGTAATAATAAACTAAAAAGCCAGGAAAATAGCACTTTCCCCCTGGTACTAAAATTATAACTTTAGCACCATGCTCATTTCAGGTTGGGATACAACTATGTTATACAAACACCTGTGCTCTTTTTTGGGTTATTGGCCCATTCTGAGACAGCCAACAACTTCCATTCTTGAGAGGAGATTCTAAGTCTCATCACAATTATTTCTGTAAGTACTTACCACTACTGCAAAGTCCAAGAGATCTTTCTACTTACCTGTGCATTATTTAGAATCTTCTATCTCAAGAGTTGAGGTGTCAGAATCCATTGCTTCCAGCTGACAGACCCCTCTCTTTATAACATGCAGCTGTTTTTGTCCTTCATCTAGATAATTTTGCTTCCTATCATCTGACCTATGTTAAGCATGATTTTTTTAAAAATGTTGTGCATGGCCTACCTTAACACAAGGATAGGAGAAGCAACCTAATTAAGGCTGAGGTTGCAGAGTTTCACTATGGACAATATATTTTATGATCGTAGTGTGATCTCTCTCTCTCTCTCTCTCTCTCTCTGTGTGTGTGTGTGTGTGTATGTGTTCATTTCAGTTTTATAACTTTTTCTTACTAGATGTGTCAGAAAATAGGCAACTTATCAGATTCCTAGCCCTCCAGCCTTTTCTCACTAGCTTGCTCTCTGGTATTAATCTGTGACTGGGTAAAGAACGTAATGAGATGCATATGCTCACTTGTGTCTCAGGCATGCCAGTTTGCCCATTGTGCCTGCTTGAGATATATCTATCAATTAGAAGATGCTATATATAACAATGTTAGTGTCAAGAGGAGTTCTTATAAGAAAGAAAAAAGCTGCTAGCATAATTGTAGGAATGTTGAAGTGGAATAAATTTTCACTTAAAAATGGACTCAAAGAGTACTTTGAGTAAAAATATGACATCTACACAGGAGGAGTAAGATTTTCATATTTCAAAATATGAAACTTGCACAGAAAGGGGTTCTGTACCTGCTCAATCTTCCACTCTCCACAAAAATTAAGCCACAGAAGGGCATGTTGGATAGCCCACGGGCAGAACACAATATAGATGATAAAGATGTGTCATCTAGAGAAATCAAAATTAAAAAACCAAAATGTATAGATTCAAGACTCCTATGTAGATTTAATATATATTTAATATATATTAGATTTAATATATAATTATATAATTATATATATTATTAATTCAGATTAACAGAGACATTGTTCAGGTGGTTGTCCCAGCTATCTGTATATAGAGATAGCTGGGGGAATTACCAGAACAATGTCTCTGTTAATCTGAATTACAGAATATAATGGTCACCAGCAAAATTATCTTTTAAAAAACACACTATTATTTGCCTAAAAATTAGCATGCTATCTAATTCCAAGAACGCTATCTTCTTTCTAAACTGGTGCCTTTTGTCAGCAATGGGATGTAGGAGAGCAAACAAACTGAAATTTAAATCAGACAGGGCAGCAGGGCTCCTGTTCAATCGAAAGGTGGATGAGGTAACAAGGATGCAACCTGCACTGGATAGGGTTATATTCCCCTTGAAAACTCAGGCCTGCAGCTTGAAAGTACTCGTGAATTCATCCCTGAGCCTTGGATGTCCAAGTTTCAGTGGTGGCCAGGAGTGTATTGGTATAGTTAAAGTGTGGTGCACCAGCTGCACCTGTTCCTTGAGATGTCTGGCTACAGTGACACATGCCTTAGTTACATCCTGCTTGGATTACTGTAACATGCTCTGTGTGGGACTGCCTTTGAAGATGGTTCAGAAACTTCAGCTCATTCAAAATGCAGCTGCCAGACTAATGACTGAGGCCACTTACAGGGAGCATATAATGCCCCTGTTACAACAACTGCACTAGCTACCATTTTCTTTCTAGCCTCAATTGCAAGTGCTAGTTATGACCTATAACCTATAACCTATGACCTACAGTATATGTCCAGGCTAACTGAAAGACTGTATCTCTCCATACGAGCCTTCCTGACCCTTAGGATCTTCACAGAGGCCCTCCTCTCAATGCCATCACAGGCACGTTTAATGGGGAAGCAAGAGAGGGCCTTCTCTGGGCTGCTCCCAGGGTTGTGGAATTCCCTCCCTTGAGAGCTTAGATTAGTCCTCTTATCTTTCTGCTGACCGTTGGAGAACGACCTCTTCAGGCAGACTTTTGATAACCATAACTGAGTTCTAGATACTAATTTTAGCTATGTTTTCTTTTAAAGTTTTTCATCTTTTAAATTGCTTTACATTATTATTATTATTATTATTATTAATTGCTTTTTATTGTGTGAATTATTGTGTTCTTAATTTTACTTGAATCACAATTGTGAGCCATCTTGGGACCCTTCATTGGGAGAAAGGCAGTTTACAAATGATATAAATAAAATACTTATCTGCTAAAAGTAAGAGAAAAAAACTAATTGGGATTTTAGTTTTTAATCTATGACTCAGATACAAGAAGATGAAGATATCTTCCTTAAAACCTTGTCAATAAACAATTACGTGGTCAGTACTATTTTTTATATTATCCCACAAAGTGGTGTATAAAGCTATACTATATATAACAGGAGTTGATCAAATTATTAAAATCTGTGGCATAATCACATGGACCTGCACAATTGGGAAAGAACTTCAAGATTTGTTCCTTTCCACTGGAGTATATATCAGCCTCTAATTGAGTCAATCCAGATGTTTGTTTCTTTGCTCTATGGGCTGTTTTATGCACTTTTAATGATTCTATTATAATCTTGATGGAGTAGTCTTTGCATCATGTACTGTACTTCAGTCCCATGACTCTGGTTGTAGAAAATTTTAAGGGGAAGCTTTCATGAACACTTACTAGGCCAAAACTGCATTTTTTAAATGTATGAGGATCCAATCATGAGTAATAACCTTCAAACTTATTTGTATAGTGGAAGAGCAGTCTTTAGTAAACACACATGCAAGGTCACCTGGAAAAGTACATTTATTTCAGTCACTTTTGACTTAATATTGTATATTTCTGAAAATACAACGGACATTTAGCGTAATTCATAATTCACCCTAATGCCCTGCCCCTAGTTAATGCTTTTTTTCTTATGAATGAATCATTCCATAAATTATACTTAGGAAAGCCCTCCACCTTATATTCAAGAAGGAGTTGTAGCCAGCAACAGCTCCCTTTGACCTTAGCTAGTTTTCATCATGCTCCGCTCTGCAATCAGAAGTAACAGATTTGAAAGAAAGGCAGCTAGGGGGAACCTCTTCCAGGAGAAAAAAGAAGAAAAGTACTGTTCTACTTTCCCCTGGTACATTTGTTATTTTGCACCAGACTGAGGATGAAACGCCATTTTTTATAACTGCAAGGCACTAAATTTCCTAGAAAACATGTCGTCTTTACCTTCCACCATCCATTGCTTCTCACTGTTCTGCAAAATTTGTTCATAGGATATTTTTAAATGTTCAGATAGAACTGGTGTCTGTATACGAAGATATTCACAGAATCCCAAGTTAAAGAAGTCCTTCAAAGAATTTAAAGTCCAGTGTTTATATTTATTGACTTGACTAGTACAAATCACTTTGGTACAGCAAGCAGCGTGACAGTGATTCACAAAGCATACAAAAGGTCGCTGTGAAAACTTGCTTCTGTTAGGATAGTAGGGCACCATACAATTGACAAACAAGAGCAGCTCCATACCTCATGGGATTTTTATTCACAGAAATAAATGGCAAAGAAGGGCTATGAGATTCCAGCTGAAGGCAAGAGTGTATCCAGCATCATTGGTGTTCACAGCTTTGTTCAGTTTAAAAACACAGGGCATAGGCAGGAGATTCCACAGTCCAGAGACCGATGTTTTGTCTAAAGAGAGACTTGAACCATTTTGACTAGTGGGATGAATGTAAATGTATGCATAACTACATGGTAGCTCAGATTTTTTTCTCAAAGCAGTTTAAACTACACTAAAATAGGAACATCCACACAGGGATTTATACTGTTATTTTCTAAAAGAACAGATTTGTTGGAAAGAATACCATGGTATGTGCAAGCAAGAAGAATTCCCTTGCAGATTCAAAAATAAAAACAAGCAGCACAGGTTTGTCTTAGGGCCAATCCTCCCTCACAAAAGAAATGTGGAGGCAGCTTCTGTTAGAAGTCTTCCTAACACACTTTTTTTCAATAAATGGCCATATGCCTGCTTTTAATCTGGAATTTCCTCAGTTTAGCATATCTATTCTCACCTTTCCTACACAGAATTTGAGCACTGTAGTGTTCCTATACAGAAGACAAAGGCCAAGCCAGTCCCATTTACAGTACTCCATCTGCTTCACCAGTTTCTTAGCCAATAGTATGAGCCCCAAATTTCTCAAATTCCCAGCATGATTTAGCCACAGGATAGTACTTTGTACTCACATCATCAAGCCTCCTATCAGTGCCCAAAGCAAGCAGATTGTTGAATTCTCTCTCCAAAACCTGTCGTGCCTGGAAATAAAATCAGGTAAACCAACAATAATAGTCTATTAAAAGAATCAATTGATCTGAACAGCAGATTAACCAAGTCACTGTGTCATTAATTGGACAAAATGATTACGTATTTCCTGCATACTACTTTACCAACATCAAACATCCCACCTTTATATATAAAAGAATTTGTATATGAACCTTCAATTTCAAACAGACATTCTGAAAGTCAATTACAAGTATCATATTGCTATGGAACGAATGTTTTCAGGGGAGCAACTACAGGAGAGTGCCATTTGTCCACATGTCCCATTTGTGGTCTCTCCAGAACATCCGCATGATCACTGTAGGAAACAAAACACTAGACTAGACAAGGGCAGTCTGATCTAGTAAGGCTCTTATTATGTTCACTTCTAAGGAGAAAGATGACATTTCAATGTCTTTGTTTTAGTGCTTCTTTTAACTGTGAGGTAGGTGGTCTGGAGAACAGAAACAAAATAAATGTATAAAATCAGGCTTCATGATTATGAGAGACACATCTGGCCTAGATGTGATGAAACAGGTCATGAGCACAACAGTGCTTTTGGGATTCTGTCTCTGAAAATGGGGGTTACATTGAGCAATCATACTAAATAGGTGCCCTCTTACAGATGCTGAGGTGAAGCAAGCAGAAAAAGCTTTAGGTGGATGAAGCTAATAGAATATGTGATGGAAGTGGTTTAACATATTAGCAGAATTTAACACACTCACTTTTTAGAAGCACTAACTTTCAGTAAGAAGAGACACAACTAAGTCTATAAGAACCTATTCCATTTTTCAAAGCACAGTGATTTAAATAATGCCTTTGGACAGAAATATATAACCATCATCCTGGAAATACCAGTGTGAACATTTATTCCTACCTGAGTGTTCTGTGTGGGTATTTGTAACACCAGAGCAAGACTGTTGTAATCAAAATTTTCATCTAGAGCTATGAGTGCTCCATGAACTCCACTCTCGATGATATTATTGGCATATTCTCTAAGCCCAATAGATTGAATCCAATTAATTACTCGATCATTGGTCCAGACCAATACATCTAGAAGACAATGAAGTCATACATTCAGGACAAATATATAAATCATTGAATATTAAGTCCTCGTAAGCTGCCAAAGACAATAAAAAGTGTATTGATTATATACTATACAGAAATTCACCATGTAAGTGGGAAAAGCTAAGAAATTACAGTTCATCTTGTATAAACAATTAGTTCATAAGGTTTTCATAAGCTTTTGTAGAAAAATAAACCTCAGCACACACTAGTTTATGTACAAAACAACAAGCACTGGGTGGTAAAGTCTAAAGGATAATGCCTCAAACATGTAATCAAGACAAACCAATGAATGAAAATAGTCATAGAAAATTAAGAACACAGTGAAAACAAATACAATAAAGCTCAATAAATAAAAATGATGGAAGCAACTACCACAAAATCAGTGAGACCTACTAAAAGATAACTAGAAACTAGTAATAAAATGCCACTATGCCCACATACATAAAGATTTCTGCCCAACACAGATGAGGGATTTAAACTGCTACAGGACAAGCTTTTCTGGAGATGCTGTTCCATAAGCAGAGCCTTGTCTTATGTCATCACCTGCCTAACTTTAGGCAATAGGATAGGAAGACACAGAGGGTGGCTTCTAATGAAGAACAAAGAGCTTAGATAGCTCATATGGCCAAAGATAATAAATACCACTTATACTGCCTTGTTCTAAACTGTTTAGAGTTTTATGCATAATAATCTGAATTATGAGTTGTGCTTCTTATTCCCTTTCCTTCAGCATCCTAAAAATTGTCTAATAAGGAGATTTCACTACTATCACTTTTTACAAAGTCTACTAGGAAAAATATTATTATCAAAATTCTTACCTGTTTATGGCCCTTTAAAAAATCACAATTCTTCCATTAGAAACATATGATTGCTTTTATGGAAAGGGGTTATCAATTTTACCTTGGGCTCAATATCTAATGAAAGAACCTTTGGGATTATTTGTATCTCACAATACCAATCCCCAAGTGAAAGGCCAAAATCCCTCTAGGGACAAATGAACATGACAGAATGAGCAATGTTGCTTTCTGGGAGAATGACAAAGGAAGTAATTGATTCAGAAAATATTATGATTGCTCTCAAGCACATATTTTATACAGAGGAAATCCCTACTGAAAAGTCAGCAACTGGAAAGTCACTAGAAGCTATGGAAGTAGCCGCAACAAATATTAAGCTTATCAGGTGAAGGCCTTCTATTGGTTCTACCACTCTCACATGTTCATCTGATGAGGACACGACAGAAGGCTTTTTCATTGGCTGTTCCCAGACTACAGAATGTGCTTCCTTAGGAAGTCTGTTTGGCTCCCTCCTTGCTATCCTTCCACCAGCAGGCAAAAATATTCCCTTCTAAGCAGATATTTGGAATTCAAATGTGTTGGTGATATATATTTTAGCATTTATACATCTTTAATTAATGTTTTAATAGGTCTTGATTCTTATTTGCTTAATCAGTTTAATGATTTATTTATTACATTTGATGTGCTTGTTTTTAAATATCGTATACAGCCTTGAATTCTTTAGATAAATAAAAAGTTGGCATATAAGCAAGTAAGTAAATAAGTTAGTTGATGAGATACATTAATTTCCCCTCTCTGCAACTGGGAAAAACTGACATTGTAAGCAGCACTGATTTAGTAAGCCTGTAAAAACCCTGCACAAAGTGTAAAGTTTCATGGAATGGTTCTTTTGTAGTTTATCAAGAGGTACATTATTATTAACCTTTGATTTCATGCTGGCTTTCTTCTCGTCTTCTCTCCAGCTCCTTTCTATCATAGTTCAGTCTCTTCAGGCACATAATACCATACTGTAGACTTGTTCTGCAACAATACAATATAGCACTTGTTCCAAGAAATTTCAGACTAAATCTTCTTTCATAACTGGAAACATCAGCAATGCAGTGAAATGGTCTTAAGACCACTAAATTACAATGAAACCCAAAATACAATTCTGTTCTCCCATTTACATATACTGAGAGAAGAAACGTTTCATATCAATCCATTTCCCAGTTACCTCCACATTCAAGTTGTCATTTCTTTATGCTCCATGGCAAAAATGTATAACAACTTTTGCTAGTGATCACATTTCATAATATATTATAGTTTGCACTGCAACTGATAGGTCTGTGATGGTCATAGTCAACCTGGTATAAATTATCTCATTAAACTGGAATTTCTAGTACTTACTTAAAGATTGCAAATCAACCTCAGTTTAACAGCCTGCATCATGCCTGTCACCAGTGTAATCCTTTCCAAAAGAAGAAACCAGCTAAAGGGATTTAAGTGAGATTAATTCAGTTTGGAGGCAAAATCAGGGAGAAAACGGGCATATGAAGCAACTAAGTTGGCTGTAAAACAGTATTTCCTCTTTTGGAAATTTCCTATAGAAATCTGCTTACCGATGAAAGCTGTCCACCATTTTCAGGTGCACTCTAAGGTCTTTCTTAGTCAAATGGTCCAACATTCGTGCATCTACAAGACATTCCATGAAGTAGCTGCGATACTGTGGGAGACCTAAACTAGGAAGCCACTCATTCCCTATCCACTCATGGTTCATATCCCCATAAGCCAGTGTCTGTGAAAATAAAATGAGTAATTTAAATGCAAGTCCCCCAGAAGCACCGACAAAAGCCAGGGTGGATGTTTCAGAAATGAAACTTTAGAACTTGTTGGTAAATCGCATATTGTGTGTAGTCTATTACAGATTAAGAGCTATCTGACATTTACATGAGTTGTTCTATGACCACTTTATACCAGATAGTTCCACCAAAAGTAATAATTTCAGTTGTAACTGAGGGTGTTTTTTTAGGAAGAGTGATACAAAGTACCCATTATTACTATGACGAACACCTAAACTTGTACATTTTGGCCTCAAAGTTGTAAAATACTCATGTTTGTACTGGCAATGAATGCAATACTGGTTACTTTCTGGATCAAGAATCATCATCATGTATGTACATGTAGTTCAGAAACCTTAATTACACACAAAATAGAAAAGGCATGTCTTTAGTTCCTGGGGAAGACAATTTTTAGAAGGAATAATGCTGAAATTAGTATGCAGGGACCTTTTCCTTTGGCAGCAACAGGCAATGGATCATGTTATGCATCCTCAATACGCTGGTGTAGAGTGATCCATTATAATGCTAAGCACTGCAGTGACAATCTAAAAATAAGCCATGGAAATCTAATTGAAAGGTTTTGATATAAAAATCTTGACAGTGCCCCTTCCAGTATCTTCTTCTCATCTATATCTGTTTTCAAATTTTCTAATAGCACAAAACTGAAATCAGAAAAGAGAGAACCAATCCAAGCCCCACATTCACAAAGCTTGCTTCTTTTGTGAAACTAGAGCCCTACTAAATAATGAAGGAGATGCACATATGTGTTAGATATAATCTTCTGCAACATGAATATTTCTTCTACCTGAAGGTAACAATTGGCATTAGTAATTAAAAAGAACACCTAAGAAGGCTTAAGAAAATCCTGTACCTGTTTTCATGAACCATGGAGTGATATATATTCAAGAACCAGCTTAGTAATGTGTGCTTAAAAACAGCAAGGTAATTTACACATTAATTTCTATGTACCACTGTTGAATTCAATTTTGCTGAGTAACATCCACTTGCACATTTTTTGCTCCCAATTACAGTGAACAAAAGACAGCATAATGCAGGAGTCTCACCTGTGCCCAACTGCCTTCCTCAGTGTCCTAAATGTGATAATGCAGCATGTCAACAAATCAACAGGCAAAGTCAGTTACCACTATACAGAGGTTTGCAATATTTTAGATACAAGCAAAGACTTTGCATAGATTCAAGCAAAATAATCAAGATATTCCCAGGCAGACAGCCACACAGCAGGATGATTATTAAATTAGATAGCTCCATTTTTCATCATTTCTAAGTTTGGAAGATCTCATTGCAGTCAGCATATTCAACTTCATAGGCATAAGCTAGAGAAATCTAGATCACACATGACAGCATCACCCTTTATGCAAGGCAAGCAAAGAGGCATGTTCCAAGCACACAGGTTAGCAGCAGCAGTTCTGGTGATAGATGATAGCAGGCTGAAGTCCCCTGAAGATCAAAAGCTTTTATTCTTAAAGAACTATGAAAAACAGCAGTTGGAACGTAGCATTTGATACCTGGATTGAGACACTTGCTGGTAACATATTCCTACATTTCGTTTCACCCTAATGCTGACCTGGATGAGCTACACCAATAGGTAGACATTATTTCTTTGGTATTATCTGATGAATGAATTAAAATTTGATTTTTACTCACAAGGGTTCCCAGTGTGACAAGTACAAAACAACACAGTGCAGATTTGTACCAGGGAAAAACTGCTACTTGTCTGAAAGTGTGCTTGCCACACCTTTATATGAAAAGCAAACGGACATAATCTGACATATGATTATGTTTTTCACTCTTGCCCTTGTACTTGGTAAACACTGCACTGCGCAGGCACAAATCCTGACTGTAGAAATGACATAGCTGCGAGCCACCCAATATGTAGATGAAAGAGGGCTTTCTAAATATGTCCATCTCTGGACCTGGGAGGGCCACATTTGTACCCTTAAATCTCCCCCCCCCAAATAAAACCTCTTCCTTAAATCCCTTGTGCCTTTTAGAAATTTTTTAAAATTAAATTAGGAGGGCAGAGGACTAAAGGGCTGCATGCAGACTCCCAGTGAACCACATACCACCCAAAGACTACATGTTGCCCACCCCTGATCATTTACATCTGGTGGAAAGAGCCACATTTGTAACACACCTGGAACTTTTGAGAATTCCTGAGGTAGCTTTTAACAAAACACACTATGACTTCTCAGTTACAGTAACAATGCCTCGGACAAACATATGTTTCTCATTTCTCTGTATCCAACAAGACAATCACTGGGCTAAATTCTCAACAAAGGTAATGTGGATGGTAAAGTATGCTGGGAACACAAAAGCTGAAAATAATATTTATGAAAAGGCTTTCTTTTGGACCAGATGCAAAACAATTTTCTTGCCAGTTTTGATGATGTGCTTGCTGGCAAACACCTCAATTACTGAAGCACAAGCCATACGAAGATGAAAATTACACAGAAAAGACTTACCGTTTTTGTTGAAGTTGCCATAGTTTCCATCTCTTCATGTGTAACCCAGACATTTCCAGATGACTGATATAAGGGAGAGTAACAGATAAACAGAAGAGGAAGGAACTGTAAGTAAAATACTTCAACCTGACAAACAAATTAAGCCACTGCCGATTTCTGTATGAACACAGTTTTCAAATGCCTCTGGCTACAGTTATGAAAAGTCATTTTCAATTAAATGTTGTTATTGTTGTTAGCCGCCTAGAGTGGTCCTCACCGACCAGATAGGCGGGGTATAAATTAAATAAATAAATAAATAAAATGGTCCTAAGTTTTTTGTATAAAAGGTTTACTCAACACTATCACCCAAAATATTTTAAAAATGAAGCTTTTGAAGTCAAGAGCAATTTTGTGCCAAACAGATGTGAACTCCCTTTGGTAAAAGGCACATCAATCAAAGTGATTATTGTTTCTTTTAGAATTTGTCATGTTAAGAGTTATGCAACTGCAGTCTACTTCCTCTTGATTAACTCTTCAGTCTCTTATGTCCTTATATTTGCCCTACATTGCTGCCTTATCCTGTTGTCGTCCCCATCCTTAGTGACAGGATCTGAGTACATTTTCTTCCACATAGATTTTTCTCATCATATTTCTCACACAGCAAGCAGAGAACCTAAACCAAGTCTACAATTGAATTTCTGGGACAGACAAGCAGTTTTAAGGAAAACTAGGCCACACAGGGCCTGAGTATAGGCTGCTCCCACTGATTACAGGAAAATCCATATGTCCACACAGATTCTTGGCCCCACACTTTTACCTTGTTACGGTATGTTGCTTTAAGAACAGTTAATAGCAATGACAATACCAAGAAAAATGTATAACATTCAATCTATCTTAAAAGCAGATCTTGAAGGAAAAACCACAGGCTTTCATTACAACAAAGCAAACAAGCATATTACAATGAGCTTGCTGAAATAAGCCACAAGTGATGTGAAAGCATAATCTCTTGCAGTGGTGAAACAAAGGCCCAATTTTCCTGCATTCATTTTATTCAATATTAATTATTATATTTTTATACTGCACCATCTTGCCACTATTCTGGGAAGTTTCTTCCCATTAAAATAAACATATAAAGAACAGTCAACTCTCAACATTTGAGCTTCATTTAAGATACATGATTTTCTATTTGCTCTTGAAAGAACATGGGAATCACAGCAGTCATCCGAAAACTACACTCTATCTAAAATGTGCAAGTTGGAGTTTCATCGGAAGGCTCTGGAGTCTGATTTCAGCCATTCTTACTGGGTATGAAAACAGCATATATATTTTTCTGGTTAAAAAGGAAAATGAAAACCAGTTTGTTAAATCTCAAAAAAGCAACATGAAATACTTACTGTCCTTGAGGTGGGAGGAGCTGAAGGGCTTGTTAGTGACACCATTTCTTGAATTGCCAAGCGCAGTTTTAATCGATGAAGGGCGTTACTGATGCCAATTTCCCTCTGTATCTCTGTATCTGACAAGGCAGACATAATAGCACCACTCTTCACATTTGCTCTGCAAGCTGCAACATACCAGGCAGGCATGCCCACCCAAAGCTGCAACACAAAAAGACATAGATGAGCTCTTGTTTATGGCTTTAGTCACTCATGTTTTCATACAGTACACAGAATCCATGTCATACACACAGCCTCAGGTGAGAGGGATAAGTTGCTTCAAACATCCAGTTTGTTCAACCCGGTTGTTCAAATCCATCCAGTCAATCTTTTACACTTTGTACCAATAAGTATTCCTAGGAGCAACTGGAGAGCAATCCAATGTCCACAATAGTAAACAAGCATGAGCCAACACTGGTAGCTTAACAAATGTAAAACCCTCCATATACAACAGAGAAAGAGTAAAGGAAAAGCCTTCCTTAGCATTTTTCTAAAAACTGGTGCATTTCTGTGAACGACAGTAAACTGATAAAATTATCTTGACCAAATAACATGTACTTTCTGATATATTCATTTTTCATACTTCCCTGTTCTGAAAGATTTGTGGCTGCTCACAAAGGTTCATTGAATGCGTAGTCTTGATGCCCATTTGATTCTATAGAGGCTTCCTCCCACGGAACTATCCCTCCCACGGAACTTTGAGAATCCCAGATAGCAGATACTCCCAGAGTGGTCCAAGTTACTTTCCTTGGTTTTCAAAGGAACTCCAAAGAACATGGATGGTAGAACCATGGAAATAGAGAATTGCTCTGTAGCCTACTGTTCCTGGATTCCCATTGCCTGGTGTATTCTGGGAGTCCGAAAAAATCCAAAAGCCCCATCCCTATCACAGTACTCAGCAAAACTAATTACACCAACACAATCATAATCCCTTACAACTGACTTAGGCAAACACAACAAGAACAACAAAGATTAATAATTGGGATGCAAACAGTTAAAGATGGTGTCTGAATGAGAAATTGGCCAAGTGGCTGGGATTTGTCCATTTTTAAAAGTGACAGAACACTGCTTTAAACCAGCAATACAGTATTATATGGTTGATTCTCAGCTCTAAAGAAATAAGCAAAAAAATGGCTGAAATCCTACTGCTTAGTGTAGTAAGGCCTATGGCTGAAATCCTATTGCTTAGTGTAGTAAGGCCTACTTGAATCAATGGAAAATACAGAAGAAGTGATTCACCAAATCCCCATTGATTCAGTGGGTGTATTCTAGTGTGAGTTACTTACACTATGCAACAAGATTTCAGCCATTGTGTATTTTAACTTAGTTAGACATCGCTGAAAAAAGATGCAAGAAGCAATTTCCATGTTCAGATGGGGTAGAAACTCAAAGTTAAACAAATAGAACAACTGAGCAAATTCCATACATTTTTATTCCATTTAATTTTAGAGTATAAACAGAAAATAGCATATCTTTGGCATGATCCTTCATCTTTGCACACAAATAGTACAGTAATATCTGGAAAACCATAAAAATGAGGAAAATTACAACCTGTATCGGACTATGAGAAAAGTAAACAAAAAGGCACTGAGAGGGTTTTTTTGTAACACAAATATCATACATTGCTTTTTTTGTACATACTGTACTTCCTATGTATGGAATTTTAAATGCTGACAAATATCTTTTTCCTACAAATAGTTTTTATACTTTATAATTTCATATATTTTATTTTTACCAATTAAAAATTGCTTTAAATTGTATGTACATTTGGTACATCATTAGTCCAAAGTTTCATTAATGTAATCTTCTGGTTGCATTAACTGATTTCTATCTGCCTTTTCTCAAAATTAAGATTTAAGGCAGCAGATTTTAAAAAGTTATATTAAAACACATGTCAACAAATTATAATATTGAAACACAAGTTAATTGTGTACTTTAAAAGCTAGAAATAATCAAAGTTGCAGCATTCGCCAGTGAAATCTGTTTTCTCAACAATCATTCAAAAAAGGATAAAAGAGAATGATACACCCTAGCTTCACTTGGAAGGATGTTCCACACACTGGAAGCAGCCAGCAAGAAAGCCTTAAACCATTCATTATGTATGAGACAAAACTGAGTGTTCATTTCATAAGTATATTTTACATAGGAATTCTTGTAAAGTATTAAGTATCTGCCATATATGCTGAACATCAGTTCAACAGGGTTGAGCCCAAACGTTTATATAAATATTTTTGGTTGGAAGTAGTCAAAATATCGTCCAATTTCCTGACCATCATCTATGTGTGGCTGCTTCTCACAACCATTCCAACTCTTTTCTGTCACAGTGCAGCAACAGGTAATACCTCTATTGGACCATTAAGGAAAAAAAAGCAAGCTTTCGAAGATAATTTTTCCTCAGATGTTATCCCATTAAATTAAGAGTCAATGTACTTATTTATGTTATTTTTATGCTACCTTTCTCTTCATAGGGGACTCACACGCATAATTAAAACTATGAAGTATCTATGTTAAAACCACCATAAGAAACTATACTAAACAATTAAAGCTCTAGCAATATAAAAACCTCTATTAAAAACAATTTATTATTTTTTAAATTAAAAATCTCTTAAATTTAAAAAAACCAGCATTCCTAAAAACATGCTGTAAGGACAAAAGGGAGAGGAACAACCTGGATTTCTGAAGGACTGCTTTCCATCGCCTGGGACTAGCAATGGAGAAAGCTCTCTCTCATGTGGTGTCAGCACAGTTGACACTGCAGCATCACACAGGAAATAGAGGTGGCTATGTGAGCAAATCAGAACCAACTCAGACTGAAGCAGCGTGTCAGACCCTTACTCTGAGTAGGTAAATATTTTCATTTTATTCCCAACTATTATTCCAAAAGCACCTATATTTATCTCTAGCCTAGATATAATCCTTATCTAAGAAAAATCATTTTATTTTCTCTAAATTAAAGGCACCTACTAAATACCACTAATATGAAGATACTGAGGCAGGCTTACCTCTAACCAGGAAACTACAGTTGGGCCGTCCCACTGAGCAAAGGGAATGCCCTTTCTTCTTGCTTCCTCCAAAAGTTCATGTCTGGAAGGAGACACAGTAAGCAATAATATAACAATTTATTTCCTTATTAGGCACTCCCCTCCACAATTTCAAATTACTGTAGTTTTGTAGCATTAATGCAAACCCATTTGCAAAGAAGTTACATACGCATGGTTACAGACAGCAACATTGCCATAGCAAGTTATACTGCTTTCGTTGTTCATACATGGAATTATATAATAATGGAGTTGAGGGGGCCTATAATACCATTGAGTATAATCCCCTGCTCAAAGCAGGAAACCAGATCAAAGCAGATCTGCCAGAGGGTTATCTAATTTTCTTGTGAATGCCTCCAGCATTAGAGCATTCACCATCTCTCAAGATAATTGGTTCCATTGTCATACTGCTCTAACAGGTGGGAATTTTTTTCTGGTAATCAACCAAAATCTGGGTCCCTTTAACTTGTTTGTCCTGCACTCTGGGATGATTGAGAACAGATTTTGCCCATTTTCTGTATAACAATATTTCAAGTATTTGAAAAGTGCTATCATATTTCCCCTTATAATTCTTTTCTTCGAGCTAAACATGCCCAGTTCTTTCAGTTTTTCCTTATAGGGCTTGGTTTCCAGTTCCTTGATCATCTTTGTTGCCCTCCTCTGAAGCTGTTTCAGTAGAGCACTGGTTCCCAAATGGGGAGCACCCCCAAAGGTGTGTCAAAAAGTCTGATGGGGCACATGATTGTGAGATTCTCATAATGAAAATATATTTCAACTGTTTACATTAGTTTTGATTTTCAAATGGCATGTCACTAAATTAATTTAAAATAATTTTACTAGATATTGCATTGATTTTTAAATTATTAAATTTTTATTAAAAGAATGTTGGAAGATGGCAAAAGAGAGGTGGGAAGGCATGAATGTTTTTCACTAAGCAAAAGTGGGGTCTGAAGCCAAAAACATGGGAACCTCTGTTCTAGAGCAGTTCTAAAATGATATGAGTAGATCACTCCATAGCACAATTTGGTGTTCCACAAGCATTGAGAATTTCACCTAGAATACTTCTCAAAATCCTCTATAACCTGCAGAAAATTAGCTACAAGTTAAGACGATCAAATTAACATTCCCACAGGTTATGCAGTCTAAACAACCTATATCTAGAAAATACTACGTAGGCATGCTCACTTTTTTTTGAGCCGGCGATCCTTCTCTGCTTGTGCTCCGAGCTTACCAAGACCAAGAGAGTCCTGTATGTTGATCTCTGAATCTGTCAGTATAACTGGAAAATATAACAGACAATTACACAAAGACTTTTAGTGACCCAGAAAAACTAAGGTCATGTGCAATATATCTTAAAAACTGAAAACAATCCTGTTAATCTACTACATACCTACCTCCACTATCCTTTGCTAGCCAAGCTTCCCTCCTCAAACCTGTTTCACTTACACATCTTCCTAGAACATTTTTGTCCAGTTTCTGGATTTTCACATGTTAGTCCCATTGCTTACTATTTTCAGAATTCAGACCAGGCCTGTCATTCCATGCCTGTCCTAGATCCTGTTCCCAATTCATGCTGCCACCAACCATTACCCATTAAGCCACCCTTTCCAGATAGACAGCATATGATAGTGGCTATTATAAGAATCCACCAAGTGAATTCTTACTTATGGCAACACTTTTAGGGTTTTCTAGGTAGCAACTACTTAGAAGTGGTTTATCATTCCCTTCTTCTGAGGCATTCTGGGACTCTGCAGCTTGCCCAAGGTCACAAAGGTTGGCACTTCTGGAATGCGCGGCAGGGACTTGAACTCCCAACCTCTGGCTCTGCAGCCAGAAATCTAATTCACTGATCTGCCTTATAAAGCCAATCATTTTGAATTGAAATGCAACTTGGTAGACACAGAAAGGAAAACCACATCAAATGCTTCAATGGCCTTCTCTTCTGCACATGATGCCTCAGATAATTCAAATTATTTATGCTTCAAGTTTTCTTTAATTGCTAGCACCATATATCCTGTAGTTCAAACATTTGTTTATCCTGGCTTTGCTCATGTTCTGATACCCAGATTCTCCCCTTGCTCACTCTGCTCCATGAGATTATATCTGTCCTAGGTGCTATTTAGATACCCAAACAAGTATAATGGAAACGTAAATTGTAAATCTATGACATGGTCTAGATCAGTGGTTCTTAACCTTTGTTACACAGATGCTTTTGAACTGCAACTCCCAGAAACCCCAGTCAGGACAGCTGGTGGTGAAGACTTCCGGGAGTTGCAGTCCAAAACTCCTGAGTAACCCAAGGTTAAGAACCAGTGGTCCAGATGCTCATATCACTCTACAAACTCTGTGGCAGGAGCTACATATTTCTGATAACCCCAGTAAGCTTTTTTTTTACAGCAGGTTATCTGAAAACAGGAGTGAAATCACCTGTTTCACACTTCCTGCTTTAAATCAAATCCTGCTTTAAATTAAAACAGGCTGTGGAGCAGAAGGCAGATTGGTCAGTGCTGGCAGGCTTCTTACTGCAACTGACGGCACTGAGGTCAGAACAGCCTCACCCACTTGCCATGAAGGAACTGCCCTTCCCCAGCAAAAAACAACATTGCTAGCCAGGCAGTGCTGAGGTGGCTAGAAAATGTCCCCAGCACTGGCCAGGCACCAATGGTGTTTTTGACAAGAGAGGCAGCTCTAGTGGCTCAGTTTTGGCCACATCCGGAACCCCAACTCAGGGCTGTCAGTAGCTGGGAAGCCTCCTATCTTAGCTGGCTGGAATGGAAGCCTTGGTGCTGTTTAAAAATGGCAACAATGTATTGTACATTTTTTAAAAAGTCACCCCAGGGCTTGAAGGTTGCTGTAAACTGACGTTATTCCTTTAAATATGTAGCTCTGGCCTGTGTCACAAAGTAGCCTACTTTTTCTGTTTCTGACACTTTAGTTTAGGGCTAAAAAGCTGAACAAATCAGCATTCTGCCCAGACTGATCCACTGGCTGCTCCTCTTGCTTCTGTCATTTGGCCTTCAGCTAGTTCAGTCCCTCATGCCTCAAACAGTTTCACTTTATCTTTCTCCACTACCCTTCACAGCTCCTCACATCTGTTACATTCCTTCTTAAAATCTACTTTAAGTGCTATCTTGCAAACAGTTGGGCTATGAAAATATCAACACTTCCACAGCATTTAAGCAGTCTAAAATATTCTGAATTGCTGTACTTGTTTTGGTTCCTATAAAGGCAAGGCCTCCATAACTACACTGTCCTATCCGAGACCTGTCATTCATTCTTCACACAGATTCTGCAATCCCTGCTTCCCCCCTTCATTGTTATTCCGTTACCTCTAAGCACACCTCTGATGGGCACTTTACCAGTATATTCAATAGCAGTACCAAAGGGAAAAATTATTCTAGCACGTCAATGATCGGAAGAAACAGATTTAACTGGAATTTTAAGTCCTGATCTTATAACTTCAGTCTTTTTTTCCCTTCCTCCTCAAACAGAAAGTTACTCTTCCTTTGCAGGAGGGTGGGGGTTGAGGCGAAGAAAATCAAAGACCTTGCCCAGTAGCACCTTCTCTGCTCAACTGGATCAAACGACCTTTCTCTTTCTTTCCAAACAAGCGCCCGATTGAAGATTTGATGCCTTTCCTCTTGGAGCCTTTGTGAAGAGAGTCCTGGCTGCTGTTACTGCTGCTCGGATTACTCGCCTGGTCCTCCAAAAAACTAAAGAAAAGCAAGAGTGTCATGCCGTCAAAATCTAGAATGAGGTATGGCTGCCATTTTGCTCTTAGAGTCAACACCATATTTATTTATTTATTTATTTGATTTTTACCCCGCCCCTCTAGACCATGTCTACTCGGGGCGGCTTATTTCTTATATAACTCCTAGATTTTCTCACAGTGGACTCTTAATTCACTCCTTAGGGAGGAAAGGCTGCAACTAGCTACAAAATTGTGTCAAACAACTCAGAAGCAGAAAATGAAGACACAGTTCTGTATGTGTAATTTAAATGAATGCACCATTGTTTTACATAGATGACAGAATACAGAAATGAACTAAGGTACAGTGGTGCCTCGCATTACGACGTTAATTCGTTCCAGCAAAATAGCTGTAGAACGAAAACGTCGTAATGCAAAATTAAAAAGCCCATAGAAACGCATTAAAACCCGATTAATGGGTTCCTAGGGGCTTGAAACTCACAGTCCAGTGAAGATCCTCCATAGCGTGGCCATTTTCGCTGCCTGTGCAGCGAGGAATCCATGCCAGAAAACAGCGGGGAGCGATGTTTTTTACCAGGCAGCTATTTTGAAACCGCCGATCAGCTGGCCGAAAATCATTGTTTTGCGAGAATCGGTTCCCTGCTTCGGGACCCGTTCATCGCAAAGCGAAATTCCCCCATAGGAAACATCATTTTGTGATCACAAAACCTTCATAAAATGGAATGCTCATAATGCGAGGCACCACTGTATAAGACATCCAAGACAGAAGATTTTATATTTATCTTTTTTTCTTTAGCAATCTTGCTATTGTGGATGGGAGAGATACGCTTAGAAAACAGAGAAAAGGGAATCGTTTGTGTTTGGGGAACTAGTAAATATTCCCTTGGAAAAGGAACCTCCACAAATATCCTATATCCTTCTGAAAGAATTTGATCTACTGATTTTCAGTCTGTTGTGGTTGATAATGTATTGGAAGATCTGGGGCTGCTGTTCTGTAGTATATTGCCCAGCTGTTCACCTACTATTTACAGCAGGCAGAGCCTATCTAACCATCCATTGCTAGCTATACCTCTTGCCTTCGTCCTGACTCAGAGCAGGATGTCCAAACTTCTCCAGCCGCAGGGTCCTGGGTGAGGAAGGAGGAGATGTCTCACATTTTATGGTTGTTTTATCTTCTCGACTCTCATCTCGACCAGCTGGTGACTGAGCAGACAAAGCAAAATTAGAGCACAGATCCTGTGCAAATACCTCCCTCCCATCTGCACTGCACACTCACCATAGGTATAGCTCACCTGCCAGTTCAATTAAAAGAGAAGGTGGAAGAGGGTTACATGCATTCAGAATGTCATGGGAACTGCTGTTCACTGCATGCCCTAATCCAAAGGCCTGGATGATTGAGTGAAAATTACCAGTGTAATCTGGAGTGATGCTACCCTAATGGGAGGAAATGGTGCCCAAAAACAGCAGGAAGGAGGTGACCAGTTATGAGCCATCAACAACAGGTAGCACTTAAGAGAGCAACCTTTACCTTTTCAAAGCCAGTGCTCTAGTGTGATGTCAACACATAACTGGGGCCACCTTTAAGTATGACTACTCAAGCTGTATAGATCTCTGAAGACAGGGAAGTGATGGCATCATTGAGAGAAGTGCTTCATGTTATTTCAGTCTATCAGTTCCAAATCAGCTCTCTGCTGTTATAATGGCTATCACTGAAGTACCCACCAACTACATATTCACTCTGTGCTAGGGCAAGAAAATTACTACTCCAGATAGCACAATCCAAGCACTGATGAGATAGTGGCCATATGCCCTGTTTAATCCTCCTTTTGCAACAGCAACTGAAAGAGCAGGAGTAAAGAATATTGCATGCACAAGTCAAGGAGAGAGGGAAATAGCAAACAGAAGCCAACATGGAAACTTCCTGACCAATCTGAAAAGGTGCAAAGTCACCTCAGCAAATATTTCTTAAAATGTATCATAATTATCATAACTATTAATGGCTTTATTGAATTTGGTTAAGAAGGATCAATTGTTGAAAGAAAATAAGGAAGGAGTTAATAGTAATAATGATTACGGCAGCAAGGTTAATTTTTGCAAGGAATCAGAAAAATGATAACCAACTCAATTTAGAGGAAAGGTATAGAGAACTATGGGATATGGCAATTAATGATAAACTGACATGTGATATGAAAATAAGAAGAGGCCTACCAAAAATAATGATTTTAAGAAAATATGGTGTGTATTCTTGGAATATGTATTTCAGAGAGGGAAGGGGTATACACTGAGGGAAGAAACAAAGAAGTTTTGGAGAGAAAATGGACTGAATAAAATTTAAATTATTAATGCTAGCCCTGAGGGTGATGGTGGCACTGGTGTATTATGTAATTGTATTTTATTGTGGTGTTAATTTTATGTTGTTTAGATCAGATGTTTGTTTAATAAATTTATTAAAAAAATTAATGACTAGTAATTTTTTTATGATTCTACCTCTCACATGCTAAACTATCCCTGGGAAGGGAATCAGAAACTGTTTTGACTTCTCCAACTGTTCAATACATTCCCCTGAAGCAATATCACTATCAAAGGAGAGGAAGCAAACACACCTTCATAGAGGCCATAAGACACACAGTTGAAACAGAAGCAGTGTCTAAATTCTTCTACACTGAACAAATCGCAAGCAGGCATTGAAAGTGAACACAAAGGAAGATAAAAACAAAACAAGAAGAATCATGCAATAGAAAGTCAGGGTTTATGTTGTACACTACTACTACTACTACTACTGCTGTTGCTGCTAATGTTAATGTTTCCATGTGTTGCACACTTTCTTGGCGGATGCATATTGTGCATCTTAATGAAGCCTCCTCTCCCCACGTCCCAGTGGTCTTTAAAAGAGTTCAGTCTCAATCATCAGCATAATGAAGGAGAGAAAATAAGCACCATCTAAGCTCACTAGTGTCATTCCTGTGGACTCTAATGGTACAGCATCTTCTCTGTTGCAAAGAGCTCACTAAATGGAGCCCCAGTTTAAATTTTATATAAGCCCACATCCACTGCTAAGCTGAACATCACCAGTGGTCAGATACAGAGAGTGGGGACAGTCTTTTGTGCTTTATCGAACATACTAAAGAATGTCAGTCGCACACTGCAAAGTAGTAGTTTATATCACGTTAAAAATAAATAATAATAGTATGCTGTCAAGTCAGTTCTGACTTATAGCAGCTGTTTTCAGGATTTTCTAGGTATGGAGTCCTCAGAAATGATTTACCATTCACTTCTTCTGGGGTCATCCTGGTAATGTACACTAAATTAGGCTAAGTTAAAACAGGCTAAATTAGGTTAAATCAGGTAATTAGTGCTATGAGGTAAGTGAGGGGTTCCATTAGTGTTACTAGCAAAAGTTGCATTAGTATTATGACATAACTGAATATGCCTTTCTTTTTTCCAGTTTTAAATAGTGGTAAATAAATATCTCTGTACAACATTCATCCCAGCCAGTTTGCAGGTGAAGCAACAGAAGGATACCAACACACATTATTTTTATGGACAATCTGACAGCCTACGCCCCAGAAAATAAAGCCAAAATGCAGACTGCTTTGAAAACCCTATTCTGCACTGAGGAGAGTATCAAGAAGAAATTTGGGAACTAAGAAAGACAAAATGATATGCACCCCTTGTATGTGTGTGTGTGTTCAGTCGTTTAGTTGGTTTAGTCGTTTAGTCGTGTCCGACTCTTTGTGACCCCATGGACCAGAGCACTCCAGGACCTCCTATCCTCCAGCGCCTTCCGGAGTTGTGTCAAATTCATGTTGGTTGCTTCGATGACACTGTCCAACCATCTCATCCTCGGTCGTCCCCTTCTCCTCTTGCCTTCACACTTTCCCAACATCAAAGTCTTTTCCAAGGAGTCTTCTCTTCTCATGAGATGGCCAAAGTACTGGAGCCTCAGCTTCAGGATCTGTCCTTCCAATGAGCACTCGGGGTTGATTTCCTTTAGAATTGATAGGTTTGTTCTCTTTGCAGTCCAGGGAACTCTCAAGAGTCTCCTCCAGCACCACAATTCAAAGGCATCAATTCTTCGGCGGTCAGCTTTCTTTATGGTCCAGCTCTCACTTCCATACAACACTACAGGAAAAACCATAGCTTTGACTATTTGGACTTTTGTTGGCAAGGTGATGTCTCTGCTTTTTAAGATGCTGTCAAGGTTTGTCATGCTTTCCTCCCAAGAAGCAGGCGTCTTTTAATTTCAGGGCTGCTGTCTCCATCTGCAGTGATCATGGAGCCCAAGAAAGTAAAATCTGTCACTGCCTCCATATCTTCCCCTTCTATTTCCCAGGAGGTGATGGGACCAGTGGCCATGATCTTAGTTTTTTTGATGTTGAGTTTCAGACCATTTTTTGCACTCTCGTCTTTCACCCTCATTACAAGGTTCTTTAGTTCCTCCTCACTTTCCGCCATCAGAGTGGTATCATCTGCATATCGGAGGTTGTTGATATTTCTTCCTGCAATCTTAATTCCAGCTTGGGATTCCTCCAGTCCAGCCTTCCGCACGATGTATTCTGCATATAAGTTAAATAAACAGGGTGACAATATACAGCCTTGTCATACTCCTTTCCCAATTTTGAACCAATCCGTTGTTCCAGATCCAGTTCTAACTGTTGCTTCCTGTCCCACATATAAGTTTCTCAGGAGATGGATAAGGTGGTCAGGCACGCCCATTTCTTTTAGGACTTGCCATAGTTTGCTGTGGTCCACACAGTCAAAGGCTTTCGCATAGTCAATGA